CCCCAAAACCCCAAAACCCCAAAACCCCAAAACCCCACAGTATTTAACAATGTGGAAATTGATGATGAATTTTAATGTTGAGATAGAAACTAAAGCCACCTTTTACCATTACTTATATTCTTTGGTCAATGAAGAGTATTCTTGAGGGGTTCTTCCTTTTGTCTATTTGTTTTGCTATTAATTCCCTTCCTCATAAAGAAAGCATCTTCAAACGAATTATGTAACTGCTATATTCCCGTTTACATTCCCTACTTCTTGCATAACATTGGAACCAGTTAAACATTGATAAATGACTGGATTGTAATGTTAGCATTCTCATCTGTTTAAGAACATCCCTTTCTTGTATAATTGGCTACTAGCTTCAGTTAGACCTAAAAGTCCATTGGCTATTTTGGCATTCTACAGTAATCTCATTTTTAACATTAGTAAATTTTTAATTTTATCACCATCTATTTCAAGTCCCTAATGGTATGAGACGTTCGCACTCAGAACGTTTATGGATACTTCATGAATTTAGTGCATTCACGACTGAGAATATCAGGAGAATCTTTCTGAACCCTATTGTGACAATAAAACTATTCCTGACTCTTCTGATATGTCACTTCAATTCTTAATAAACTCCATGATGGTATTTCATAGCTAAAGATTATTAACTTTGCTCTCTCTTCTCTCCTTCTCAACAATGAGCTATTCTGATAATTTAAATAGCTAATTTGTTTTTCTGACTTTTCCTGAAATTTTAGCGTCTAATAGAGTAGGATATGGGACAATTTAGGCTCTTCGTACTTAATTTGTATGATCTCCAGAAGACTCACTTATGAAAATCAATTAAGTGCTGAAAAATATATTGATGAAAATTAAAAGCTTACTACACTAACTCTCCTTAACTATATCAGTCTTCTCTCACTTTCATAGCTTAGTCAAAACTTTTTGGTCCCTCACAATATCAAAATTGTTTTCAGAGCCTTAACGTTGGATGGTTTCATCTTGCTAAGGGCAACTCTCAAGAGACTGCAGCTCAAACTTTTCAAAAAGCTCTCATGCTTATCATAGAAATTCCAAGTTTTAGGAGAGAAGCAAGTGGCGACAACTTTCTGAGTTCTTTCTTCTTTTCCAAGTTTGCGAGTCTACTTCAATAGTCTCGCTATACGAATAGCAACATTTTCACAGAAATAGCAGCTTTCATGATGATACAGAAAAGGAGTGATGGCTAGTTAAGTCAAGTGCAGATTTAAAGCCTTACTACAATACCAAGTCGCTGATGTTGACCACCTCAGCCATATTGGCTAAATTTGAAAATGCAATAATTTAAAACTTGTACAAGTCCTAACTTGCCAGACCAGTCAACTGGAAAGAGGCCAAGCTATGAAGATATAGAAATTCTTGCTACACACTATTCTTCCCAGCCGAAGTTTAGAATTATTCGATCATCAGAATTGCTTTATGACCTAGGACTCCTTCCAAGAGGAGAGAGTAAAAGAACTCCTAAACAAGTTATCACTGAAAATAGAGAGATAATCAATTTACTATAGTTTAGTTATCACCGAGAAATCTCAAGTCATGGATACATGCTATGTTTAAATTTGAATGAAAACCCAAATTCTTATGACAATAATGATTTTTCCAAATTGTGCAAGTCCAGACAGACAATAATTTGCTATAGCCTCGAGGCCTCTCAAGTGCACCTCTTCCGCTTAGAATGTGTGTTGAGCAAATAACCGAAGAGGCTGGATGACTAGAGGACTTTTGCTGAGTCTTAGTGTACTAGCTATCATATTCTTGTGCAATATTTTAGAAATCCTAACTAGACAAATAGCACCTGCTAAATGCTTGCTTGCTTCGATAAAATAGATGGAGCCTATCACTAGAGCAACTCTAGAGTAATGTTTTAGAATATTTAGTGAAATCTCTCTTGAAATTTTTACATAGAACCTCCATTTTAGTTAAGATGTGAGAATTGGTGAAAAAGGTTCAGAAAAACAATCACTTTTTCAAAGCTCTGACCTCCCAACAATGGCATAGAAACAACACAATTTTACGCAAATTTGTTATTGTAATGAGTATGGCAAGCTTGCTAAGGTTACAGCATCGGAATTTCATAAATAAGCTGACTCCAAACGGCAGTATGCTTAGCCTCTAGCTTATGAAAGACTAGTTTGAAATTAAGAAACAGAGACCTAGCGAAGGCAATTAGGTAGGTCTTAATTATGCTAAAAACTTTGGTCTGATTATTGATAAGCTACAGTCATCAATTTTACTATTTTAGTATATCTAAATAGGAAGGGAGTATGTTGAGTTAACCCAATAGTCTCTTAATAAACTGATCACAAATCTCCACTACACACATTTCCTACTTATATAAGGACAGTAAGCTTATGATGACTCTAGCAAAGCTAAAAGAAGCTCTTCGAACTCAAGCAACCAGGTCTGTTTTATAATTAGTATGAAGTTTCTTGAAAGTTCTCCATATCAAATTTTACAAAATTTGAATTTCATATTTATCTCGAAGAAAGAAAAGAATATGTATGAAAAGTTCGTTCATGTTATCACCAATGCATAAAAATGTGCCATTTAACTTATTTCCCAGTTTAAATATTCATGAGAAGCCTTTATAATCACTAGAGACTTCAAGTCTTCTTTAAAGCAACTAGTTGAGAATGGTTCTTCAAACTCACTCAAGATTAGAGCACTTCTATCAAATTTAGAAAATCGAAGTTATTCCAGTTATTATTACTACAGTCTAGTGAGCATAGAAACCTCTGTGTCTTCCATAATATTAGACGCCTCAATTGCTCAAAGGAGCCACTCCTGGCTTCATGAAATCAAAGAAATCAGCTCTTTTGTGTTTCCCTTGATATCATTTGGTTGCTGATATAACACGGTGTTGGACCCTCAGAAGTTCAAATGCTCCATTCCTCACCTTTCTAGTTATCTAGGAAACTGAGGAGTATTCCAGTTAGAACTCTAGACGAGGGTTTGTGCTAGATAGACTGCAGATTATTTGACAGATCTTATATCATAGACTCAATAACAGGCTCTTTTCTCATAGCATTCCTCCTCGAAGTTGGCAGTTACAAAAGTGGTCCCAAATTTCTTGATCTACAACAAAATCTATTAAAATACTCTTGAGTGGACTTCCCATTTTTGAGCTTGATAAAAGCCTAAAGAGCTTAAAGCCTGGTGATCGATGTAATTTTATTAGGATTATTCATCACAAAGCTTTAACACTCAGTCCATCAATTCCTAAGTGTATTCACTAATTTTCACTGAGATTTCACCATGGAAATTAAAAGACTATTAAATTAGTCAAAATGTGGAAATGAAACCTATTCGGAATATCCAATTTGGACCAGAGACTATAATTTTCAGACAAATAGATATCATTTTCTAATTATTTGGACCATATTTTATATGAAAGTATGACTCAGAGTCTTGTAAAGAATGTCGGCTCAAATGGCGAAGAATTAATTCTTACTTAATAACCTAAACTCAAAGCGAGTTCACCATAAAAGTTTGAATCAACTAAATAGTAACTCCAAAAGTCTGGGGAGCCATCTATTGAGTGTAGACCATCAAGTGATATAAGACAGTTGTCACTTTCTAGACTATAATAAGAATATCTTCATAATTTCTGATTCCAACCAAGAAGTCTCTCCGACCAAGCATTTATGAAATTATTCGATATACTGAGAGAGAATTTAGCCTATTTATATATCAAGAAACCTAATTTGGAGAAAAAGTCTGCCAAGATAGAGGCTTTATTAATGACGATCCAGAGATTCAGCAAGTCAGCATTAGAAGAAAATAGAAACTGTGAGAATTTAGGGTTGTGATGAACTTTCATCATGAGGTAGAAGCTAATTGAGAGACAGAGTTATTTACTTTGAAACTTTAGAAGAATTAACTTAGTTTATCTCTGAAAGCAGAAGCCTCGAGCATTCCTCCGCTCTGGTTGAAGCTCTCCAGCATTTCGAAGACATCCTCGGCTCTCCATGAAAAGTTTGTCGGAGCCTTGTTGTTGTGCAGCATCATCGAGTAGAAGTCGAAGGTGATCGCCGCATCGACTTCGAGAGGGAAGCTGCCCACATAGGTCTTCTTGCCTCCTACCACCATCACTGTCTGATAGTTTGCAGAGTTCTTGTTCACTCCTATGAATCTGGTTCTTCTCTTACTGACTCTTCTAGTTTTACAGACATTGGATTTCTTCTTAGCGTGCACAAAGGGCAGTCCTGTTCCTAGTAGTGGGAACAGCTTGGCCCTTAATTTCTCCTGGTGTTTAGAGAAGTCATATGAGTAAATTGCCTTGACTTGATTCAGGTGTTTATATTGAGACCTCACAGAAGCAGGCATCATTTGTTGCAACTGGCTCTGAATCTCACAAAGGCAGAAGTAGCTGAAAATATTGATAATTGGATTCATTTAATTATGATAAAACTTCTCTATATTTATATGCTATCTCGGGGTTTTGGGGTTTTGGGGTTTTGGGG